ATTTCTCCGTCAGTCGAGCCTTCTGGAACCTGCTTGCACGGGATCTCTCCTGTCGAGCACTGGCCTCCATCTGCAGAAGGTCACTCACGAGTGTGAGTCAATGTCAGGCTCACACATGGCCTGAAAGGCCCCCAAAAGCAAGGAGTACACTGGTGTTGTTGGGGCATGGTGATCCCCCAGGCCATAAGCAACATGGCGCCAGGTACGTGAGGGCATCCAGCAGGTATTTGTGGAATGGATGACGGAACTAGTCAGGATTCTCTCACTAGCGCGCTCACCCACGTCATGCTTCAGCCACCATCTAGAGGCAGACCTCCCTCACATGTCTTTCTCCAGCCCGGTTCTTTCCTCCAGAATCTTGTAACCAACAGTCTAGTCAATCTTCTCCTGGGAAAATGTTTAAGCAGCTCAGTCTCACGGGACAGGTGCCAAGGCTGAACTTGCGAAGGCCCCACGCCCCAACCCGTTTCTCCACCACTGTGGGGAGCGGGACCCTGTCCACCTGCTCCAGGGCTGTGCTCGGGAAAACCTCTCTTCCTATTCCAGCATCTCCCGTCCCTCACCAGAGTCTATTTTCATCCCCAGCATTCTCTGGTTACAATCACTTCTCCCGCAGACCATGGTGGTTAAGATCACAGGCCCAGGAGGCAGGTTGACTGGGTCAGCCTCCGCCACTTGTTAGTTTTTGCCTAATTCCTCTGAAAGACCTCAGAGTCTTCAACATAAAATAGAGATAATAAAAGGTAATAGGGGCGTTTTTGAGAATTCAGCAATATAATACATACGACGTGCTTTCAAAAGCGCTGGCTACTGTCATTGCCACTACGCCATCATCACTGTCACCATCGGCTTCGTCACCGACATTGTTGTCACCATCACCACCGCCCTCGTGGCCACCAGCATCATTACCGTCACCATCCCCACCCCCATCAGCGCCACCAGCATCATTGTCACCACCATCGTCACCATCATCATTGTCACCATCATCTTCATCTCCATTATTATTGTCATCATCACCGCTGCCCTCACGGCCACCGTCGCCATCATTGTAATCACCGTTGGCCTCATCACAATCCTACTTCAAGCTCCCATGCGCCCTCATCTGCATCACTGCCATAGTCACGAACATCTTCCACGTCCTCTCTTGCCTTCCTCCTGTTTTCCACCATGTCACTCAAGGGAGCTTTTAAAAACACAATCTCGGGCCTCCCTGGTTGCGCAGCGGTTGAGTGCTGGGTTGCGAAGCTGCCCACAGCCTCTGCAGCGCTGGTTCGATCCCTGGCCGCCGGGGCGAGAGTCCCACATGGCGCGCAGACCTCTCCTGCCGCCCGCTGCTCCCCTCAGCAGTGTCCTTCGGTCCTTCTGCCTGCTCTGCTCCCCGTTCTGGCTCTGGTGAATTCTCTCACCCTCCCGCGCTTCTGACTGTACCCAGTGCTTGTAAAGATAAATGAATAAATCTTTGGGAAAAAAAAAAAAACCCACAATGGCATTCCACTACTCATGTTTAGAATATAGTAGTGGCTTCCCGTAGGGGACGGCCGACAGCCTCGGGCATCCTTTAGCTTCAAAGAGCACGCGCCTGCCCGCTTCAGGCCCCGCGCACATGTTCTTCTCTCCGCCCGTGACAAGGCCCCGCGTGCCTTCTCGTCTGTCCTTCCCTTTAGGGTCGAAATCTCTCCGAAATGCTGGTCATACTCACTGCCTCCAGCCCACGGCACGCGGCCCACCCCTCCCTCACGTCTTCTGAAACTGCCCGCAGATCACATGGCACCTGTGGTCGAGGCCAATGTACCTATTTTCAGCCCATCCGACTTGGCCTTTCTGACTGTCTGACACTGTTAACCACCCTTTCCTCAAAGTTTCCTCGCCTCTGACTCCTCTGCCTCTTCTCTGGCTTCCTTCATCTTTCCTAGATGACTCTTCTCTTCCTTTTATTCACCCGGTTTTGCTCTCAGCCCCTTGGAAGCGGATCTCCGAGTCAGAGCTCCTATTTTCCTGCCTTACTGCCCGGAGCTATTCCGACCTGTCTGCACGGCGTTCACTGCATAACGACTCCCCACTTGTCTCTTGGTCCTCTCTCCCTCTTGCTCCTCCATGGGCGCGTTTCGTAAGCAATTGCAGAGCACGCGGGTAGCTGGAGTCCCAGAGCACGTCCTGCCCCCCGTGTGTCATGAATGGCGCCCACACCCATTCAGGGGCCCGCGCTCGAGCCTGAGTCATCCTTGGCCCCTTCCTCGCCCTCCCTCCCCCATCTAGTTAATCATCAGATTCTGCTGACTCTGCCCCCTGAGATGCGCTCGGCTGTGCTGACGCGTCTTTGCTCCCCACACCTGGTCCCGGGCCAGACCTGATGCCGTCTTCCCTCCCACGCCGTGGCTCAGCTTCCTAACGCAGCCCCTTCGACCACCGGCTTACTCCTTTCTCCAGTCCTGTTTGCAATGTCAGGGTCTGGGGAAAACAGCTCCTCACGTGATTTCCAGAGAACTGGTGATCCGACTTTAACAAAAAGCGGTTCTTAAGCAAGTCAGAAGTGGCTCACTGTGGCCTCTGAGTCCCTTTCTTCGGGAGCTGCCACGCCTAGCAGCATAGTTAGGGTTCCGAGAAGTCCTGCTGCCGAGGTCTCTGCTTATACTGTTAACCACTTCCCAGACATCTTTGACCATAAAACCCCTTCTCGAGGACAGACTCCCTAGCAGCTTGCAGAACACCATGACCGCCTCTTTTCTCTATTTGAAAATACGACAGATACGTGGACACACACCCACGGAACACAATATGAGCTGGATCTATGGACCCTTAGAAACCCTCGGAGATCGGATGATAGCCTAACACCCTCTGCAATCAATAGCTCCTGTGATGGAGCTCTAAGGATATTCTGGGCGCTCCTCATCTGTTCTAATTCTTCAAACAAAGCCACAGGTGGGCGTGGGCCTCTCGAGGAGTCTAAGCCAGGCCACCTAAGGGTGGGTCTAAGGTCGTATAACCCATAGGGTGGAGCAGTCTTTGCCTTATAGGCATCTTTAAAGTTGCAGCTATTTGCAGTGAGCAGGTGGCTGTTTGCCTGCGGGAGAGACTGGAAACCATCAACTTTCTTTTCTGCTCTGACTTGAGATTCCTTTCTAAATAGACCCGCGCTCCAGCCAAACTCATCTCACTGTCCAGCGGCTTCTCAGCCTTTGTCCCTGCTGTGACCTCCCCCAGGAAAGATCCTGCCTGCCTAGGGGGGGGCCTTCACATCTACTCCCCCTTCGGGGTCCCTCTTCATTCTAAGGCCAAGGGCTACTTCCTCATCTGGACCAACCTCTGTTTTTTTTTTTTTTTTTGCTCAAAAAGGTAGAGAGATTCCCCTGAACTTGCAATCAGGTTAACTTCTTCTTTTTTTTTTTTTTTTTTTAAGATTTATTTATTTATTTATATGAGCACTGGATACAGTCAGAAGCACGGGAGAGTCAGACAATTCACCAGAGCCAGAGGGGAGAGTAGAGCAGGCAGATTGACGAGGTGCACTGCTGAGGGGAGCAGTGGGCGTGGCAGGAGAGGTCTGCGCGCCATGTGGGACACTTGCCCGGCAGCCAGGGATTGAACTGGCGCTGCAGAGGCTGTGGGTAGCCTCGCAACCCAGCACTCAACCACTGCGCCACGGGGGAGGCCCACAATCAGGCTAACTTCTGAAAGTGGATACCCCAGTGGATGGTATCGCCCAACAGCAAAAATGATCCCCCCAAAGGTAGCAAACAAAGATCAGGAAGCGGATGGCTAAGAAGGGGGAACAACACCCCCCACCTCCGCTGAAGGCGCCCAGAGCTGCTTACACTCTGGACATAACTGTGCTCGCGAATCTGGAAGCACAAGATGAGCACACAGGCCCTAATCAGATTAGCTGCAGGAAACAGAGCGAGTCACCAAACCATAATCAATGGTGACAGGTGACCAAGACACGAGGTAATCAATTACATTCTGCTCTGGGGGCAGGGTCACCGGTGCTGCGCCAGACGGAGGCAGCTGAGGGCACAGACGCCAAGAGGCACCAGCAGACCCGCCGACCAGAGAGACGCTGGCTGAGTTCGGGGGACGCTGACTTTCAGGACAACAGAGGGATGCCGATGACAGATCAGCGCTAGTTTGTCCAGCTTTCTCAGACCTGGAGGGTTTCTTCAAATTACAAACCCACCAAGGGAACTTCTGTGAAACCACCCGCTTTCCTAGCCATCACCACACAGGACCTTTCCGGGTGGCAGGAAGGGATGTCCTTGTTGACTCCAGCTCCTTGTCACGGAGCTGTCGGGAGGGATCAGCAGGTAACCTACGCCGCAGGCTTGATCCAGGAAGCACATCCAATTGCTCAACAAACATAGGCGTTTAGATGAGCCCGTGTAAGGAACCTGCCGGTCAGCTCGGCTGGTTCGCGCTTGGGGCTAAGAAAGTCAGTCACTGCACCTGCTTCTGGTGACACTCTCTGCTGTCGGCACATTTGGTTACCTGGCTTCCTGGTGTCCAGGTGCCCCGGTGACGGTGAGCACCTGGACCTGCAAAACAAACCCCATGACCCTGAATGAGAGTGGACCAGCTGGGTGTCGCCTAGGGGAGGGCGTGGCGCCGCCCAGCTGCTCCAGGGCATCACATGTCCTTTGTCACCTTTGGCAGCCTCGCTAAGAACCCCGCGAACGCCCTACACTCTCCTGGCTCTATCTTCAATGAGTCATGTGTGTCCTCGGCCTCTAATTGGAGAGTAAGCTCTTGCAGGTGGGGATTTTCTGGCCCTTGCAGAACCTCCAATGTCATCATTATTTACCTAGATGAGATGAGCTGCATCAGAGACCAAATAAAGGACCTGGGGTTCAGAGGAAGGCATCATTGCAGCCCCACAGGTGGTGGAGAAGTGGGCTGCAGGCTGAAGGAGGCCCAGGGCTGCAGATTGAGGGTGCCCGGGGCACCCATGGGAGGGCCGCCAGGCTGCAGGGCGGAGGGGAAGCTGGACATGGCCTCATGGCCGCACTTACCCGGACCTCGGTGTGCACCGTGCATTTGACCAACTTGAAGTTCTTCCCGGGGTTGAAGCTGTTGCTGTAGAAGCAGACCTTGAGGATCCGCACGTCCTCCTTCTCCACGTCCACTGGCACCACCACCATGGGCTCTGGGGGGCCTTCAGGCCGGAGTAGCGTGCCCACCTTCACTCGGCTCAGGGGCTCGGACACCCCAGACATCCTCTCAGACAGCAGCTAAGTCCGGCACATCGCAGTCCTGCAGGGTTGGCAGAGAGACACCCCGGAGTAAGCCCCGTGGGACAAGCACCCCCCAAATTCCGAGTCTTATGGAAACCCCACTTCCCTAGCCCCCAGCTCCCAGTGACAACATCTGGTTTTCTTGACAGGAGGAAGCTGAAGCCCAAAGGAGCAGTTGACAGAAACATCTGGACCTAGAGCCCCCAGGCCGTGTGCATCCCATTGAGAAGCCCCTCCTCTCCCCCATGCTCCTCCCACGCCGCTCCAGGGAAAGGGCCCACACTCTGCAAACAGCTGTGAGAAGAGGCGGCCGCAGCACGGTTCCAAGGCACAGCTGAGCAGGGACAGCCAAGAGCAAGATAGCAGAAAATAGCAGGAGAGGAGCAGAGCCGGGCAGGGCCAGCAGGAACAGACTTGGAGACTGGGCATCCGGGCAGGCATCAGACTGGGAAAGGTGGGAAAGTGCCCAGGAGGGGCCTGTATGCCCCCACCCTCAGCTGCCGTGGGCCCCAGCTCTCTGGGTAGAGGGCCTCGTCCCCCAAGAGCTCACACAGCATTTCATTCATTGCCCAGAGGAGAATTCAAGAGAAACAGCGCTCGAGCCACCCAGCTGGGGAGGCTGCTGTGCTGCAGGAAGGGCGTGCCAGGCTCTTAGGGGAATAGCCAGGCCTGAGAGCCCCGTTCGAGGCACACACTGACTACAAGAATCACAGGAATTTTTAGTCACCCTGAACCTCAGCAAAGGGGCCGTGGGCTCTGGGTCTAAAGCAGGGGTGCCTGCCTGGAGGGGGCAATGGAAGTCTTATCTCCAGACCGGTGCTATCCACTTGGCTCCACATTGGAATCCCCTGGAAGCTTTGAGGAAACCCTAAATCCAGGTCCCGTTTGAGGTTGCCACTCGTTGGTTGGTGGAGAGACTCGGCATTGGTATTTTTAAGTTTCCAAGGATTTTTTTTTTATCCTTCAGCCTGGGTTCCAAACCACCAGACTAAGCTCAGCTCTCATTCTGAAACCACTCTCACAGAAAAGCATCCCCTGCTGACAAGACACGGGGGTTTTAGGGGGGCAGTGCTAGACCAGGAGCAGGACGGTGGACTCAGTGGTCAGCATACAAATGTAGCGACAATAATTCAGAAGGGGGATCGAAGAGCGTGCTCTGGTGCAGGAAGGAAGGTGCAGGCAGCCCCTCACTTCATGAGCCACTCCTTGCAAAAGCCCACGTGCATCCTGAGGGCAGGTCGTGTCTGTGAGGACGAGAAGGAGCAGGGCAAGCCCAGCCATTAGGTCAGGGCAGACAGACCCCAGAGCCCACAGAGACAGCCCAATTTGGGTCACGACAGATGGGTAAGGAATATCCGGCCTGCTTTTATTTCAAAGACCAGTGTATATATTCTAGAAGCATCCATGCCATTTTTTAACAGACATCTGCAGAATATGTCCAATGTGCTGATACCCTGCTGAGAATTGGGCATGGATCTCAGAGCCCCCAGACCCTCAATGAGGAATCCAGAGGATATAGCTTGAGAGGCTAAGGCGAACGCTCGCAGGAGAGGGGGACCGGCCCCCCCGGCACTTTGAACCTGTGCAGCTGCAGCCAATGGCACCGCACAGGGGACCCAGTGAAACTCCCAAGAGGATGTGAACACGTGCCGAGGACGTGGAGCAGCAGGAAGCCTGTCCGTGCAGCCACGGCCACCGGGAAAGACATGGGCAGTTTCTTAGGGAATGGAACATGCTCTTACCACTGTTGCTGGGAACCTGCATCTGCTCTAAAGAATAAAGCTGTAATAAATACGTGAGCCTCATGGACACCTCAAAACAAAAGGCTAGAAGAAATAAATTAGAAACTGAAAGTGGAATCCAAAACAACACAAAGGTAGCCAAGGTCCGGGAGCAGGAAACAAAAGCACAAGAGACAAGCAGCCAAAACACCCAGAAAAGAAACGGCCCGATGGCCCTAAATACTACTTTATCGATCATTTCCCTAAATGCCAACTGTCCGAACTCACCCAGCAAAAGGTACAGAGCAGCTGGGTGGATTGAAAGAAAATATAAAGTCTATTGGAAAATGAGAAGCTAGGGTGTGGGGGGACAGTCACCCCCTTACTCAGCCCGACGGGACCCTGCCAGGCCCCGACAGAGGAGAAATCCAATATTCTGGTCGCGCGGGGCACCCTCCCCGCACACGGATGCAGGCGTCACTGACATGCCGGGAGGACACGGGTCTCGTCCCCGCGCCTGTGCAGGCTTCATCTCAGCGGCCGGTGAGGCTCAGCTGCAATATTTCAGCAAAGTCAGCTCGGTCACTCAGGCCCCACGGTCGCCTTACACCTGACTCCAGACTCCCAAAGAAGCAGTTTTAAAGCTTTTCAAGAAAGGTGGGGCCTCCCTTGTGGTGCAAGGGGTTAAGTCTCAGCACTATGAAGCTATCCGCAGCCGCTGTAGCCTGAGTTCAATCCCTGGCCAGGGAGCTACCCACATGGCGCAGCAGACCTCTCCTGTCTCCCCGCTGCTCCCCTCAGCAGTGGATTTCAGTGGATTCTCCTGTTCTGCTCCCCACTCTGTCTCTGGTGAATCCTCTCACCCCCTGCACCTCTGGCCTGCACCCTGGCTCTTGTATGCATGAACAAATAAAGCTTAAAAAAAAAAAAGGTTTGCAAGAAAGGTGACACTGAGCCTGGGTGATGGGGAGATGGCTCTGCCTGTTTACAGATGGACAGTGTACCCCAGAGGGTTTAAGTCATGTGGGCAGAGATCGACGGTGGGGATGAGAGCCCTGGGGTCCCAAGGAGATGGACTCCGAGTCCAGACCTCTCCCTCTCCCAGCAGCCTGCAGTTGTCACACACCCAGGGCACGAGGAAAGGTATCCACCCAGCAAGGAGCATCCCCTGTCTGCAGGGAGCCCCCGGCCCCACTGTGTGGATGGTGTCACCCCGTCCAAGCTAGGACATGGCCCTGAGGGGCCTGGAGGGATCAGATGTCCAGTCAAAGACCCTGGCCCCGAAAGGCGATGCCCACACCTCCACCCAACAAGGCAACTCACTCAAGGGCCCCTGAAACTCCTGTCTGTTGAGCAGTTCGCCAAGAACTGCCCGGGGGTTCCTCAAATGTCTCCCACAGAGCAACGAGAGGTGTGATATGAGGAGGGCTCCAGCGTCTTCAAGAGTGAGGCTTCACCCCCCTGCAGGCTGTGCTCTCAGGCCGGTCCCGCTCACTTTCTGAACCTTGGGGGAGCCCTTCCCTCTCCTGACCTCATTTCCTTCACCCGTAAAGTGAAGTGCTGCCCGCCCCATCCTGCTTACAGAGGGGTGTGAGGGTGAAGTGCAGAAACATAAGGAAAAGCTCCTTGTACGCGACACAGTGGACAAAGGCCGCGCCGCGGCGGCTACTACCAGCCGTGCTCGGAAACCTCGTCTGATCCGAGTCCCACCCCCCGCCTTGTTCCTCCCCCTTCCTGCCAGTCACCGTCCAGAAAACAGCACAAGAAAGTTCTGATGGGCCACTTCTGCCAGGTTCTGCGGCTGCTTTTGAGGTGCCCACCTCCATCATGGACGCCAAGGCAGACAGAGCTCCTGGCTCCACCGTGGAGCCCGCCGAAGCCCCGGACCGTGCAGCTGGCGCTTCTCACTGGCCGCCTGTCTCTGGCTTTTGATAATCACACGATCCTTTGAGGCCCAGCGTGTGAGCCCAAGGCCCTGCCCTTCCTCCAGTCCAGCCCGGGGCCCTTCCCTCACCCCCGGGTCCAGCCTCCAGCTCCTCCAGCCCATCAAGGGGAGCAGGCCCGCGGGGCGAGTGACCCCTGGCTCTGGGCCACCATGGGTTCCAGCTCTCCTGCCAACCCCCAGGGCTGCCCAAGTCAGAGTCGAAGAATAACAAACACCAGGAAACGGGTTCCAATTTAAACAGGAAAGGTTTTGATTGACTATAAGAACATCTTGGCCCAGACCTGCCGAAGGTCCTGAGGGAGGAGGCTGTTCAGTCCTGAGTCTTTAAGATTCTTCAGGAAGAAAATAAACGACACTCTTCCTGAATGCAAGACACCCACCTGCCTGAGGGGAGGGGCTGGAGCAGGACTGAGTCCCTGCAGGACCCCTGGGCTGTCATGGTGCCCAGGGCTGACTTCCCGGCGCGCGGGAGGGAGACGCCAGGGCTTCAGGGGAAGGTCACAGGAAGACCCGGCCTGGGCTGGAAGACCATGCAGGGTGATCTTATGTCTCACTGAACACAAACTGCGGCCAGGGAGTTTATACAAGGGGTGTGCTTCTCTAGAAGATTCTACAAGACAGGAGTGTTCCCCTGAGACCACACAGAGGAAACTGAGGCCCAGAGCGGGGCCCTGGCCAGGTCATCCCAGTGGCCAGTGAGCCTGAGCAACCTCAGGATGTGTCAGAGGCATCTCCTTCCTTCTTCCCGGACAACCTCATGCTTCTGGTCTGGATGGGCCCCCGTCCGCACTCCCTTGCAGCAACGGACACTTCTCCTGGGACAGGGGCTCTGCCTGGGGGCTCGGCTCCCAGCTGCTGTCTGCTTCCCTGTCAGAGACTGGGTTAGAGGGTTAAGGGGCTTTCTCCAGGCTCAGGCGCTGGGTCTGGGCCGCCACCCCGGCTCTGATGCTGGGACATATGGAGGGGTGTGGGTGTCAGTGTGCTGCAACTCTCCAGGAGGGCCTGCAGGCCTGCAGTGAGGGTTTCCTGCGTCCATGGCAAAGCAGGAAAAACAGGGTCCTGTGAGACTTCAGCACAAAGCCCCGTGTTCTGGCAGGAGGGCCGCCTTCCACGCCGGCCTTCTGGCTTTCTCCCTTTGGGGGGTCCCGGTGCTCATTCGCTTATGAAATGCAGGTCATCTCTGGCAGCTGACTATGGAGGGTGGCCTCTCGGGAAGCAGATGTGAAATCTCTGTCACCCCAACTTCAGAGATGGGCAGCTGTGGCCCTGAGCCCCTGCAGGCTCACCAGTCACTGGGATGACCTGAGCAGGACCCTGCTCTGGGCCTCATTTTCCTCCATGTGGTCTCAGGGG